TTTATTCTGGCCGAGTCTAGCTTCACCTAAATTACTGGTCTGTAACTCCTAAGGCCAGTACAAGTCCCCATATTGGAGCGACTGTCATGAATTTGGCCAGTTCCCAATTGAGCAGGAGTGGGGAAGAAGCCCTCTGCTTCCGGAAAGTCCCAGAAGTTTTGGGGGAGGTGTCTGACTTTGATCTGCCTCAATGAGTTTCCCAGACAGGGTGAACAGGAAGAGTGAGGAACGCTTGGAGAGTGGACCTTCAGAGAGTATGCAGCAAACAAAGCTGTTAGAGGGCTCCAGGAGACACTGAGGAGTCCCCATTAGCTAGGGAGGGACAGGGTGTAGAGAAGCCAGCAAAGTATGATACTAGACATGGAGGCAGATCACACTCCAGTCCTGATTTCTCCCTTCTTTATATCTTGAGTCAAGGACCACAGTTAGAATCGCAGATATCTTCTGGTACACCTGCCAGGAGATTAGTAATCAGATTAGGAAACAGTGCTGCTCATCTCACCTCTCTAGCATTCAGTGGTGGAGCTGGAACCCCCACATTTTAGTTTCATAGCATGGTCAGCTTGAATTGTGAGTGAAAAAGAGGAGGGAGGACAACGTAAGGACACTAAAAACCCACAGCCCACAGTTGTCCTAGAAAGAGGGACCTGTTTCTCTGACCTTGGCAGCAGCCTCATGGTTGCCTAAAATCTTCTACCTACCTTTGCCTCCTGACCTTCTGACCAGGGTGTTTTGAAGGAAATCTTTGAGGGTGTAAGAGTAGTGGTACCCAAGAGGCAAGCTGACAAACCAGCAGGTCAGCTTTAAGTGTAGCTTTTGTTTTACCTGATTTGGGAGCAAGTAGCAAAATATAGGCCAGAATAATGCTTTAAAACATTGTTGAATAATGAAAATTCCAGGAAAAAGCTTGTCTTCTTATTTTTGTTTCTGCATCTTCAGTTTGTCCACCCATAAAAAAGACATTCTATCTTGTGGCATGTCAGGGTGTAAAGTCTTGGCATTACAGTATTTTTGCGATCATGCCAGTACGGAGTTAAAAAATAGCTCCCATTCTGTCCAGAATGCTAAAGAAATATCCGTTTCTAAGCTACATGTCACTGTGTGATATTTATTGGATAAAACATCTGTCCTAATTCTTCACTTCCCTGGCTCCTGTTGTAATTTTACTTATAGGGGATTTCCTTGAACATTAATTTTTTTTGGCTTGTATTGCAGAGGCCAAATTTACTCCTCTAGATGAATAGTCAGGCAATTGTTTCAAAAGTAATTATTTTAAAAATAAATATTTATTTTAAATAGAAAACATTTAAAATTTAAATATATTTTAAAAGTATTATGTAAATATTTTTTAAAATGATTATTCTTAATAATAGATATGATAATAGATATGACAAATAATTAAATTTGTCCTGTGTATTAAGAAAGCTGCAAAAATAAATAAGGTAGAAATCTTATGTTTCCTCAGAGCTGCCTGAAACTATAATTCAGTTACTCAATGAAATTTTTTTGATTTATCCATCCTTTTATTATATATATGTATATATATATATATATATATAAAAACGAGTAACTCATATGTTCATATTAAATATCTATATTTGTCAGTGCTTAAAATAATATATATGTGTGTGTGTCTACACTGCTTGGAGCCTGTGGTTGAACTGTGTGTACACATGACCTATATTGTTTGTTCTTAAAATTTTTCAGTAAAAATAAACATTTATCCCAAAGGAGCAATCACCTATAGAATTTATTTTCTAATAAATTTTTATTTTCTTTGAAGTTCCATACTTACTTTATGAGAATCAGTAATTAGGAGGAAATGCTGTAACCCATAGAAATATCTCAGGATCAAGTTCTAAAAAGAGGGACCCAGGAGGAAAATGTCACAGTACAGGAGTATTCTTAGTCCTTTGTTAGATTTGAAGTGGGCTGTAAGATCAAACAAAGAGAGCTGGATAAGGAAGATAAATTATATTGATAACTAGCATTATAGTACTTAACAGTGTCCCAACTCTGTAGTCCTGGCCTCCTCCTGAAATTCTGTGCTCTAAATTGACCAGATTATTTTTCTTTTGTAAACTGCCTATGTAAATGTATATGAATTACAGTTAACACACTGAAATAATAAATTTAAACTATGAGACAAATAGTGAAATACATTTCCCAAATATCAGATGGCTAAGTCAGAAACAAATGGATCAAAGGGTGAGCCACCTGGTTGTTACCCTTAGGAAGGACAGCTGATTGTGCTCTGCTTATTGGAGCTGTCAGAAAACAAGAACACAAAGGCTTAATTATGTGGTAAGAATTTATTAGTTGACCCTGTCTTATTGAAGCTTAC